GAGATTAAGAATTTAATACTTGTTTTTATATAACATTAAACGTGAAATTATCTGTAAGTACTGTTAACTTTACAACCAAAATATCTTTCTAAGGAAGTCAATACTGAATTTCAATATAACCAACTTTGAAAACATTTAATGAATGATGCTTTGAGTTAAATAAACTCATTAATGTTAAATTTGGTCAAAATATGTACAGTATACTTTAGAACAATAAATTAAGTGCTAGTTTAACATGTGTTTCATTATAAAAAATGTTGTAAACATTTAACGGAGAAACAATCGGATTAAGTGAATTAAAATATAACAATATACTCAATATCCTATTATTGAGTACATGTTATCTTTTAATTCTTTTAATTTATTAGTTAATAGAAAAACATGTGTAAAGAATAGTACTTTGTATTTGGATATGATTTGCACTAATAATCGTATTGATATATCCCTTAAGTGCCCAAAACAAATTATGAGGAGGGTTTAATTTTCAAGGACAAAACTTTCATTACAATTTAACTCGAATATAACAAACACCAAAATGATGATTTTATATTCAATAAAATTATAAAAAATTATATTACCAAAAATCCCAAAACATAATTCACACATATATCGTATACAAAAAAGGGTGCAGGTAACTTAGTAATTTAATGTTGAACGCGGACGGCTAGTAACATTAAAATGATATTTATTCAAATTTTAATGGTTATATTTTTTATTTTATTATTATAAAGACTTAATATTACTCCAGTTAACTAAAACTACCAATATTATTACTTTAATTCCATGTTAAAGTATAGCCATAGACTTAAGCTGGGATTCCATGTGCACTGCACATTATGCAACTTTTTAACAGTACAGAGGGAGGGTTAATTTGAATAAATAGATGTAGACGGTTTAAATTCACTGAATTCAAATATAATTAAATATTGAAGCAAACCTGATATATTGAAGATTAATGTCAGTTAAAACAATATAACAAATTATAAAATATTATAATAACAAAACATGCAAATGGCCACAAACACCGAAGATATGGCCATAGTTCTAACCATTTACATACGCCTTATAATACTATAATTTTACTGAATGACATTACTCATTTAAAAATACCATTTTCAATGCATTAAGCCATATGCAACTGGCNATATAATTGTCAGCACTTTTTGTTTGTGTACTCGAGACTGAAGATCAGTTCAAAGCTCTTCTCGCTTAATCTGATGAAGTCTTTGTTCAACTGTACATATCTATTGAAAAATTAGAAATAATGATTTAAACAAATATATTAAACCAATATGAATCTCAAAATAAGATCCCATCGACCAATTTATTTAATGATAATATATTTTAATCATTAGTTCTGAGATTAAGAATTTAATACTTGTTTTTATATAACATTAAACGTGAAATTATCTGTAAGTACTGTTAACTTTACAACCAAAATATCTTTCTAAGGAAGTCAATACTGAATTTCAATATAACCAACTTTAAAAACATTTAATGAATGATGCTTTGAGTTAAATAAACTCATAAATTTGTGAAATTTGGTCAAAATATGTACAGTATACTTTAGAACAATAAATTAAGTGCTAGTTTAACATGTGTTTCATTATAAAAAAAATTGTAAACATTTAACGGAGAAACAATTGGATTAAGTGAATTAAAATATAACAATATCCTATTATTGAGTACATGTTATCTTTTAATTCTTTAAATTTATTAGTTAATAGTAAAACATGTGTTAAGTATAGTACTTTGTATTTGGATATGATTTGCACTAATAATCGTATTGATATATTTTGTGCTTTATATTGTACATTTCACAATACGTCTAAAATAACATTTTTGCGAAGACATGTTATCAATTATTCTGTAGTAAATTTACTTTCTTTAAATTAATAATAATGATATAAATGATACCATTTAAATATATTTTAATAGTTCAAACATTATATTTTAATATATTATTTTAAAATAATGTTCACTTTAAAAAATGCAATACATGTATAATAAACTTATTTAATTTGAATTTAAAAATATTTTGAATTTTCAGTTTAAAGAAATTTATCAAATAGTTTTTAATTACCAAGAGTAATAAGAAAAAGTATATTCTAATAGCATGTTATTTTTACATAAATTCATTTAATAAATCGCTTGAATAATAAACATTTAGACATTAATTATTATAATAATATAAGTATATTATGAAAACTAAACTACAGTATATTTATTGAGATTCAATGCAAATTTTATCGCACAAAAGATTGCTTTCAGATCATAAACATTTATGTTATAGAGTTGTTAAAGAATGTTGTTTAAAAATTATAGTATATTCTTCATCTCATAATTAAATTAATATATTGTATTATACAGTAGTTTAGTAACAAATATTAAATGAATGAAATATTTATTCTGTTTGCTAAATGACTGGAAAACCTACGATATTCTGTGTTTATATAATACTAATCGTAATGACATTAAAGGATAAAAATGTTGAACCGGTCGATAGGCGTTGCGTTGGATTTGGTTTAATATTAAACTACAAGACATTAGGTTTACATAATAGAGCACTGTTTGCAAAGAGAAAACTTTTTGTTCAATTCTTGTTCTCTTCTTTTTAATCGTATGTTCTGTTCGTCTAATTCTCGGTTCAGACTCTGAAGAGTGGAAATTATATTATCTTTTTGTTGCAATTCATTTCTCAGTGCATTTATTTCTTGACGACATTCACAGCAATCGCTGTTTGTATTCATACTCTCCAACATTATTGGCATTGAATTTAGTCTGGAATCCAAATCAATGGCACTATTGTTCTCTTCCATCTCTTTTCTAATCCATTCGGGAATCTTTCAAATAAAGTAAAGAATTATTAGATTTTTGGGATTCATATCATATATAATCTCATCTATGTTTTCTTAAAAGGAAAAATTAATACATTTTGGCTTAAATTAGTGTCAGAATTATTGGAGTAAACGGAGGCCTTAACGAGTGTATCCTCTTCTTCTGGAACTGTTGACAAACTCAGCGTTTGTTGACTTAAATCCGTATTTTCTGTATTTAATGGAATAGTTGTGTCGATAACTATGTAAACGCTGTCGTCTGGAAAAAATGCCATTAAATACACATAATATATAATAAACAGGAATCGAGTAATAATTAATGTGAATGTATTGTAAAACCTGGAAACACATAGAGGTTGGCCAGACCTACAGCGTCTCCCTGGTGTAAATGGACAGGCGATGCATAAAGTGAAACAATTGGTTGCGGTTTCAGAATAATTGCTTTATTCGTTGAACTGAGAAGCGAGAGGTCAGACAAGTTATCGATTATGATCTGCGGGTCACGTATTTGTACGATCGGGTGGTCCGGACCCACACTCTCCACCACATTCATCAGTGATTGATTGCATTTACCTGTATTTGCATTGCAGTCAACATTTTTAAATTATGAATATTTATTATTCAAACGATGAAATGTATGCTTAAAATAATGAACTCAAAGCAGAGACAGAAAGTTGCAAAATAATGAAAATAAATATATTAGTGTTGATATGAATTGTAAGCAAAATAATAGTAATTTTTGTTGTACTGAAATAGTGTTTCAGAAAGAGAAAGATAGCTATTAATTAATTTGAGCTCTAATTCATTTCATACAATATATGGTTTATATTAATAGTTAAATATAATATTTTTCTGCAAAACTAGTTTTTCTTTATAAAGATGTTAATAAATAAATGACTTTTAGTTATGATATACATAGAGTATAGTTAATGGATTCTGTGGTCAAAAGTAAGGCATTTTATTAATACGTTAAATATTAAATGAAAGCTTATATGAGTGAAGAGTGTTTGGTCTGTAGTGACCACTAATACAAACCCAATTTTATCGATTCTAACGTCAAGTGATTGCTTTCATTCGTGTCTTCTATTAAATATTCATTATATCAGACTTTTATAGAGTGCTATAAAATGTGTCAATGAATATACCGTCACTCGAGACAGAATTGAGTGGTCGTCCGCCCCAGAAGTAGATCACATTCTCGCAATTGGAGGCCACCGTAAATGTCAGACCCGTTTGCACTCTCTGTTCATTTGATCAAATGGTATATCATTTTGAATATTATGTGTGAATTTCATGCATTCATATGAAATGACTAACAATTATTTTTTGTTCTGACATTTGTTTCACAAAATTAAGTTTAGATTTTGACCGGACGTGACCTAAACCTAACTGTCCGTCACAATTGACTCCACACGTGATCAGCTTTCCGTCTTCGATGACAAACGCCGAGTGATTAACGCCTAACGAAACGGAAAGGACTCTATGTTTAATCCATTTTAATTTTGTTGGAATCCATTTGGTGTTCACTTTTATTGTCCGAAATTGTAGTTTTTCATTGAGTCCCAGTTTATTGGAGTAATTATTGCCGCAAATCCATACAAATCCGTTATCATCGATGAAAGCTGTGCAGTCGTGTCCGCAAAACACATTTTTGATAATCACTTCGTCGGGAAAGACAACACTTGTGGGCAACTCAACGCTCGTCATATGAGAATCAATGCCAAGTCTGCCATCAATATTAGATCCCCACGAATAAGCTTTTCCATCGCCGGTGACAACTGATACGTGATTTGGTCCGCAACCGATACAAGAAACGTCTGCACTGAGCAAAGTGTCCACTAATTTGGGTGTAAAGCAGGGAATGGTGTCTATTCGGCCCAAACATCCACTTTCATGGTCTCCGCACGTCATTACGAGTCCATTCTTACTGACAAACAAACTGAAGCCATCGGAGGCACAAATGCGGACAATATTTCGATTACTAATTGAGTGAATACGTGTCGGTTCGGCGGAGTTGAGCACCGATTCACCCAAACCTAACTGTCCTTTACTACCCGTTCCCCACGAATACACCACTGAATTATAGGATAGCGCTAAAAAATGTGTCGAACTTTTACTTAACTGCAATAAAAAAAACATTTGGTTAAGAATATTGGAGTAAAATATAATAACAGTATATTTATTACTAAACTATAACTTGTAAGGATTTAATGGACTAAAACCCTTTAATTGCTATAATCATTGACTGGTGTAAATTCAACTCAACTTTAAATCCAGAATTTAATGCACAAAATGTTTTAAATTTGTAAATTACTGTTTACTTAAATTATTGCTTTTTATTTATATATTAATAAAATAAGTTTAATTGTGAATGATGAATGTTAATGTAATGCAAAACTTTTTAAAATTAAATCCAAACCTAAATGTTTGGTTTAATTGCTAAATGTTTAACTAACTGTAAAACACTATAACACTCGTCTCGTATATTAAAATTACAGCGGAATTGTATTACAACAATAAAAATATTTTATATAATTTTTATCCCCAGGTTATTTATAAATGATTATTAATATTTATAAGTTATTTATAACAAATAATGAATTTTTCTTAATTAGTTAATTCAAATTTATGTCTAAACATTTCACTAATTCATGCAATACTACAGAGTAATGTTGCAATTATACTGTACTGCAAGCAATGTTATTCATGAATATAAATAATTAACACTTATATCGTTGTTATTCAAAGAGTGTTGCCATTAATTATTACATAAATAACCATTTGATTACAAAAACTTATCACATTGTGTTTAAATGCAATGTTACTAAATATGAATATAACTTAATTTAATTAAAAATGCAACACAATAAAGTGATAACTAAAATGTGAACATTGAATGTTACTATTTTAAAATATAAATTTTAAATAATGAAAATCTGATAAAAACAATTCTAATATTTTGTGTTTAAAATTAATAACTATATTAATAACTCAAATAATTAGCGCAAAGAAAAATAATCTCATTTGTTTAAGTAATTTCATAATGCACACACTATTTATTTTTAAATAAAATTAGTAATGATTGTAATAATAGAAATAAAGGTAAGTTTGTCTACTATTATAACAAGAAAAGTGAGGCCAAACCTCTTTGATCCTAATTTTTGGCGGCAATAAGACTGAAGACAATTTGATATGTGGTTCACGAATCTGGACCTCATATACGGCTGAACGCGGATATCTCACAGAACTTTGGTTTGAATGTAGTATAGAGTTAATGATGAAAACAAATCATTAAGTGATTGTATGATATGATAATACCTACTGTTTTGGATTATTATACCAGAAGTCATGACAGAAGTGGGCATTTCTTGGTATTGAGACCACATCTGAATTCTATCCAATTGTTGCTTATTTAGCAAACGAACCAAACTATCCATCACTTCCTGAGCTGTTGGACGCAAATCGGGATTTCTATTCAATAATTCATTTATCAAATTCCGAAACTCATCGGAATAGTTGTGTTTGACGGGTGGGAATTGACCCTACATTTCAATCAACATGTTTACTATTATTGCATGCATTATACAATCTTCATGTATTATTTACAATTAATTAGAACTTAATTAAATATCAAAGTTTAATACCTTAACTATTTTATTGATAATTACAGGAAGATTAGAGCCTTCAAAGGTCTTGTGTCTCATAGCGAGTTCGTAGAGCACACAACCCAATGACCAAATGTCCGATGATTTAGTGTAAGGCTTTGATTGACAGATCTCAGGACTTATGTAATAAGGCGTTCCCACAACAGATTCGGCGACTCTTCTAGTAGTCAATAGTTTAGAGATACCAAAGTCTCCGACTTTGATATATCCCTCTTTATTAAGGAAAATATTAGCCGTTTTAATATCTCTGTGAAGGATATTGTTTTCATGCATATAACTGACAGCAGAAACAATTTGTCTGAATATGAGTAGAATCTCATACTCTTGAAGAGGTGCTGATAATTGTGACAAAAACTCGGCTAGAGTTCCGGCGTCCGCGTATTCCATCTCGATATATATGTTGCCATTGCTTTCAAAGCTATCATAATAGCTGACAATATTTTGATTGTCTAATATTGATAATACTCGCACTTCATTGATGGCTAATTGCCTTTCGGCTGCATTCAAGTCATTCATATTAATCTCTTTGAGCACTACTAACAAACCATCGGGTCTTTTCCTGTACAGTACAGCCGTTCCGAAAGCCCCTTAAATGTTATTTGAAAATTATTAACAATACTCTATTCATATATTATTCATTATTTTAATTTTATAAAATTTAATTTTAATGCTTAATGTGAACAACATTTAATGTAATCTAAATTACATTAAAATTATGCTATCATGATGATCAATTATACTAATGAATTATTTATAAAACACTCTAAATTTAAATGTGTTTTTTAAGACAAAACGACACATAAAACAATATATAGAGTATTTAAATGCAATTAATGAAACAATTCACACACTTACACTGTATGGAAACGGCTGTTGAGATTAGGAGAGTATCAATAGGGTTAACTCAAGAAAGTCTTTCAAAACAGATAAAAATTCAGAAAGAAGCGCATTTAAGAGCTAACTTCGATTTCATTCGGCAAAACGAAGTCCTTTTGATTTTTTCATTTCAATTCGCATTTAATTAAACATACATTCACTTCAAACTAATGCAAGTCTCACATCAATTAGACTATTAATGATTTTTTTGGTTGTATTGAATTTTTAGTAATACTAGTCTCTGCGGGAGTTCTCGACACTTAACAGAGCGTTCACTAATCTAACCCAAAACACATAGAAAACTATTCTAATAAGAGATTACATTATGTAAAGGTTAGGTAATTACTCATAATAAACAAAATAAAATTAAGTAAAATAATTCAATAATATTGTTTAATAATAAAATACATTTTATAACCAATATTTCATGAGTTTGTTTACCACAAACATAGATGAAAGGCCACATGAATTACACTTAAAATCAATTGATAAATTAAAATATTTAAATATAGTTTTAATTAAACAGTGAATTAATAATTATACAATTTGAAAATGTAAGAAAATTAATTAAACATGTATTTATTGATATATCATTTATACAATATTAAAGTATATCTATAGGATTTATAATAAAATAAGTATAAATTTATATTTTGAACAGACATTCAGCAATATACTGTACAAGTACCACAGAAAATTTTACTTCAAATTTACTGACATTAATTTACCGGTAACACTAATATTAAGTCAAGTTTAAATATGATTGATTGTAGTTATAGTGGAAGTATAAGTTTTAGAAGTGAGAGTAATAATATGTAGGTAGTATATTTCTTGATTTAGAAAAATTATATTTGAACTTAATATGACATAGTATTACCGGTAAAATTATGTTATTTTATACGGTATATACCTTGTATGTGAACACATGTAGATTGGAAGTAAAATTTCTGTGACAAGTACTGTATATTATATTTTCAAAATATTGTATACATTTTATAACAGATTCCGAACGCATTGTCACTCTAAGACATCTTATACTTCCAAACAGCCGTTCAATTAATGTATCGTTCGGTAGCGTTAGAAAATGTATTTTATATTTACTGTACAGATATTATACAAACTCTTTTAGTTTAATAAAGTTTTATTATTAAAATATATTATTTTTTCCATACAAACAAAATTAAGATAATTTTAAAATTATTTATCTATTTTAGGGGAGAGAGAGAGAGAGAGAGAGAGAGAGAGCGAGAGAGAGAGAGAGAGAGATTGAATTTTTAATTATAATAAAGTGAATTTTAAAATTCTTCATAACATTTTTTGATGAATATTAGAAATATAATATACTTTTAATGCAAAACTTAAAGTTTATAAGAATACTTATTATAGGAATGTATATCTTTAACGGGAATATATGTGTAGTCAACTGGTCTGACGTAATGATGAACAATCTTTTTGGTGTTGTCTTTGAGGGGCCAAACCAACACTTTATTGTATTTATAATCACTGGTTAAATGAAATATTTATTCATTAATCTAAACATTTTAAGATTATATTATTTTATGAATAACTAGTGACTATAAATATTTATTAAGATTGTTACAGTTTATCAGAATTTAAAAGAATTCTAAATTAATATTTAGATTTGTTGATTGAATTTCAAAAACTATAAATTTAAATTAATTGATACAAATTAGTACAACATGTCCGCCCATCAGTTAGAAATTAGATTAAATGAACATTTAAAAACTACATGAGTAATTTGCATAAAATAATGTTTATTTTAACGATTCAAAAATCATTATTTATATTAAATTTTAAATAAATATAGCTTTTTCCATGCATCAACTTTATTTCTATCATCGAAAAGACAGTATTTTAATTTTCATCAAAATACTGCAATGTAATAGACAAACTTCATTTGAATATATGGTAATTTAATATATTATTATAGTAGACCCCATACTTGTATGCATTAAATCAACTTTAAGCATGTTTATTTCATAAAGGTAATAATTTCATACAAATCAATCTAGTAGTTTTAAAATGTTAAGCAAATTACTTTTTTCATAATGAATAGACAACCGATATTTAAGATTTACTATATTGTTGAATAAAAATTTTATTTTAAAAATAAAACAAAATAATCATTTCAATAATTATAGACGTGTTAAGACTATTATTATATTTTATTTTAAATTATTAATAACATCATCAGACAGACAGGTCATTGTCATTGGAAAATGAGATTTATTAATTTATCATTATTAAGCTATTAATTTTATCTTAATTGTCTGCATTGAATGAAGTCGTAAATATCGATATATGAAGTCTGTCTTAAATGAAGTGTAAGTTAAATATACTATTAATTATACATTTCGATGTCAATGAATAAAATATTTTTATTTAATAAATTTTCAAAAATAGTATTTTACATTAAATGTTCACTTTTAACAGCACTAATATTAATATTCATAAAAACTTATTTATTTAATAATAATTAAAAGTAAAACTCTACAGTATATACAGTACAATATTACAAAATATAATTGAACATGATTTTTAATAATTATTTTATAAGAGATTGCTTTACATAAATAGGATATTTAAATGTTTTGCCTGATTTGTGTGATCTCTGGATATGATTTAATTGTGAACCAAACTTGTTTGAAACGGGCAGTGAATGCTGAACAGGAGATTCAAACTGAGATTGTCTTTGAGGGTAAAAGCGAGGCATGTTTTGCGGATATTTATTTACACTTTGCGGACACCCGTTTGGGCAACCGTTTGGTGCAATTGGTTGCGGCGGATAGTATTGCGGACCTGTTTGGCTGCAGATAACAGACAATACAGTTTAGCGCACAAATTACAAATTAAAATATAAAATATATGCACTATATTTTGTGCAATATCATTTTTGTAGTTTATAAAATCAATATTAAAATTAATTTAAGCAATTCGTCGTTTATACTGACAAAAATATTTACGGCTAAACATAACATTTTTTCAATATTCGGGTAGAAAATTGGATTTTTATTAATAAATTTAATAAATAAAAAAGATAAAATATTATTATACAGTGTGCTTACAGAAAGTAAAATATTATTATACGTTATTTGAGTAGTAAATAAATTCAGTTGATTAACAGTAATATAAGAGAAATAAATAAAATATGTTATAAAGTAAAGCCTAGACTTAGATTTGATAATAAAACATTTGATTTGCAATTTTCAAACCCAATATAATGTCTATTTTATTAGATTAAAAGACAATAAGTTGTTGTTATAAATCAAATACTTACTAATAGGGAACGTTTGGGTACTTTTTCTCGTAATACTCTTTTCCCACTAATATTCCGACGAGAAATCCTTCGATGAACTTCTTTTTCACCCAAAGCTTTAATAAACTTTCTGTCGTTTGAATTAATGAAATTCCTATCAAAATCCAAACAAATAAAAGTAAAGACGTTTTATTCTTTAGAAACATTGCATTCAAATTATAAATAAATACAAAACAATATAATTATTTAAAAATTGCATTCAATAAATGAAATTCAATTTTATTTGAAATAGAAATGAAATTGTTTTAATATTTTATAAGAGTATTGAGTCCTTAAAATCAAATATGACATGTTTTGTAACGCTTGACAGAAATTTTTGAAATGAAATGTTAATTATTGAAAAGTTATTTTTATTAAAGTTAAGCCCAAATGAAAATTAATTATAGAAAATTAATAATTATAATTGAAATCAACTGAAATTTAATGTCTTTCAATATTAAAACCAGAGTTTATTCATAAATAGCTTAATATTAATCGCATCGATAAACTTGTTTTATTAAAATATATTTCAAAATATAAATATTTAATTAAAATCTTACGCTTCAATAAATTGATGCCAATGTTAAATATCTTAAATAATATAGATTTAATATAAATATTTATTATAACTACACATCATTCACATTCAAATCGGTTCGTTTACGATTTAATTGACAAATATAACAAATGGCCATTATAGTCCTTAAAGCAGTTAATAAAAGTTGAATGAAATTCATAGAAAATGCAAGAAATATAAAGTATTGAAGTGATAATATGGTTCCGTATATTAATATTATTGAATAACTCTCTTTATATAAGCCATATATTCCGGTTAGACTGAGAATTATATCAAAAATAGTCATTTCGATGATTAAAACACTTAAATCGACGTATAATTCGCTGTTTTCGTGGATTTGTTTCATTGGTTTCTTCATTAAAGTTAACACAATTATGATCTCAAAAGAAGCAATTAATGCGAAAACATTGAGAATTATTTGAACATATCTTATAAAGTGAAGAAATGCTGAACTCTCTAATAAAGTAAAACACATTACATTAGACTTTATTTAACATTACTATCGAAAGCTAATAGACTTATAAAGTTGAGGGATAAGTGAACAGAAGCACAAAAAACCCTAAAACCAACGCAAACACAAGAGTGGCAAAGAGCTCACCAAATGCTATATAAACTAGAAGTTGATGTTTTCGGGTGGAGATGTTGCGGATGACACTCAGTCTGACGTAAAATCATACAAATTGTTTTGCATCTAACACTATATCTATAAATTTATACTGTAAAGTATATAAACAACACTATAATACA